ATATATATGTTTATTCACTAAAAAGCCTTTATAAAGGAGAAAATGGAATTATAAACTATTTTTTATTTATTTGTTTTTATAACCATAAGACAGAAGTGATGATGGATGAACAGTTGATTGATGGATTTAGCTGCTCATCATTAATTTTGTTAGTTTTACACTTCAGCCTTAAATGAAAGAACTCAAGAACAGGTAACTGGAGAGATGTTATTTTACAAATTATCATTCTGGTAATGGATAATCTGGCAATCTGCATCTTTTTCTTTTAGAGTAGCACCATAATCTGGACACTTTTTAATCATCTGAGGCAAACAGTACAGGAAATTACAGCAGATATTTTTCTTAACAAATRAACATGTTGTAAATGTTGTGGTTCTACTTTTTCTCTGGGTCAATTTACTGACAATCACATTTCTGTAGTTACACCTGCAATGTTCTCAACTACACTAAAGCTTTGAACATATCAGTGTTCAACCACTAACATCGTCTCTGACGACTAAAAACTGGTYGATTTTTTGTTTACTTTTATGTTAGTCAAAAGAAAATGATARTTCAGCCTCTTCGACACTAAATAACCATCTGAACAGCACACAAAGAGAACAAAAATGATCTTTTACACAAAACAGAAATGAGGTTCCCCCTCCTGTTTCTCTGTTCAACAAAAACTTCACCTTTAACCTTTCCGTGGAGCATGTGAAGCCAACATGGGGGCTGTTTTACCATCTAGCAGCACAGACACACACCTGACACACCTGACAGAGAGGACTTAGCCAGGGCACCGATCCCATAGGTGTTGGCGGACTTCCTCTTGAGACGAGGCAGAATGGACGTAGTGTCCTCCATGGACAGCTGAAGACAGAGGGGAGGGGGAGGCAGAGCGTGGTGAGCAGGTGAGCAGGAGGAGGGCAAACAGAAGGGTGGGCGTTTAAAAGATGCAGAGCAGATGAAAACACAGAAAATGACAACAGAAGAACAGAAAAGAAAGAGATCATTAAAAGAAATGGAGGCGAAAAGATCAGTTGATAAAACAATTTCAGAGTAAGATGGAGGTGATGAGAGAAGAGGAAGGTTATGATAAAAGAAACAAAGAAAGGAGGGTTAATTATTTGAGCCCTTTCAAAAWGGCTTACATGATTCATTTCTTTAAAAACAGGAGAGTCAAAGAGCCAAAGGGAAAAATGTAGTGATTCAAAAGCAATTAAAAATATGAATCTGGAGAGCAGAAGCCTGGATTTGACACAAAATGACTCAGATAGAAGGTGAAAGMGTTACTGATGGATGTAGCATTACTGCTGGTGTACACATTACACATTACAACCTTTAATAAATGAATGAATCACAGTTAGTCAGGATGATAATGAGTTTGTCTGGTTTTATTCTTTTGACCTGAAACAAAAAACACTTTAAATATGTGTTTGCTGAAATTAAAAAGTATGGAATATCTGTTGAATTAAGCACCTTCTGATGATGTTTATTCCCTCACGAAGCAACATCTGCTCAATATGAGTGAAATTATAAAACGGTGGATAATAACAGCCAAGGAGACTAATTAAACGTGCTGTATTTCCCACGTTTTGCTTCAATTAATGGATTTAAAAGGTCGTTAAAAAGAAAATCAAACACTCCTGTTTGTGGCTTCAGCAAACTTCTRTGATTCTGTCTGAAAACGAATGAGCAAAGAGACAAGTTCTCCCAGAAGCTAATTACATTTAAGCATATTTACCTTTACCTTTAGTCAGAAAAAAAACACCAGATTCTAATTGGAGGGTTTTGAACTGAAGTGTAAAGAAAAACCAGAACCATGTTGTCTCCTTGTGTTGCGTTCTCTGAACACAACAGTTATTGTTTGGTCCGGTGCAGCCAGTGAGTCACGTAACTTCCAAAGCAATATTCCTCTTTGAATCTAATATCTACAAGACATGCAATAAAGCAGAAGTGCACAGGTCCCCCGTAAGCAAAATCATTTGTTACTAATTCTGTTTTTTGTGGTAACCAAGTTCAGAACAAACCTAATCATTTATCACAGCAGGTCAGAATAAATCTGAGCAGCTGAATATGAGCTTCAGCAGCTGCTGCTCATTCAGCCTGCAGAAAAATGCTTTTCTGTTGGGATAAACGGGTGAAAATGAAGTTCTGTCTGTCATTTTTAATTGTATTAAAAATACATTGAATCAGACAGCTACAGTTAAATGAATATATCGTTTTAACTCATTTATCACATCTAAACATAAATCCATCCTCAGATGAAAACAAAGAGTAACTCAAAAATTAACTTAGATGTTGACTTAATTTACTTTCTTAAATGTATCAGCGATGACATCAGAGAAGTAATTATTACTGTTAATCAATATGGGAAAGAAAATTTAATCATTTTCAAACAACTAATATTTCATTTAAAGTTAAAAAAAGACTTCTTAGTGGCAAGTTCACCCCAAGTTCAGACCATGCAATGTTTATAGAAATGAGCAAAAATGAGCTGCAGTCTTGACTCTACAGCCCGAGTTAACAGATTAAAGATTAAAATTCACAGCTGGACAAAAAAATAAAATAAAACATCTGGAAGTCCAGATTTTTTTACCCATAATTCACAGCAGCATGTTTAGACAAATACAGCTTCAGCACAAACACCTCAGAGAAACTGAGGTGAAACTCGGACTAAATGACACAACAGCTAATTTATAACAGAACGGTTGCTGTTGTTTTATGTTAGTTCCTTTTAAATCCTGATCAGGATCAGTTTAATTCAGAGGATGTCACTTACAGGCCTCCAGGTTTCCAGCTGTTATCTTTAGCTAATCTTTGCTGAACTGATAAAGCTTCTCTCTTAATCAACAAACATCAGACAGTTTAACCGAACAACTGGAGGAACTGAGTACAAATCAGTCTGCAGTCAAATACCAACCGGGCAAAAATAAGTACCTCAACAATTTATATTCTAAATATCACTTTTACTTCAAGTCCTCTCTAAACTTCTCCTGTCTGCAGCCACTAGAAGGGAATACATTTAAAAAGAAACAATCGTTTCACACCAGAGGTTTCAAACATTCGGCAAAGTGTGCAAAAAAAATAAAAAAACTAATCTCCTTACACCACTCTAAATCTGCCGAGTGAAGCACTCGTTGCATAATCCAGCTCCACCTTTAATTTGGATTTAGTTGTTGCTAATTGCTCATCATGAAGCYTTTGCTGTTTGGTTAAATGTGTCTGCAGCTGGTCCTCTGCTGGATTTCCCACACCAGACATTTTTATCACCCGCCGCCTTGTCTGTGTGTGTGTTTGTCTGTGCTGTTGGCAAAATATCTWATGAATCACACAAAAAATTAATAGATTTTCATGAATTATTGCGTTAACGTCTGCAGCTGATTAAGTTTTGGAGTCAAGATGCCATCACAGCAAAGCAAACTTAAAGACAAAAAAGTGAATTTTACACCAACTGAGCTGATGTTTCAAGTATGGGGTGCCGTTTGTAAAGTTACACAGTCAAAAAT